CACCCTATCTGCTACTCTTCCCCTTCTCCCTCACTCTGGCCTTGTCATTCCTGGAACAAGTCAGGCCAGCTCCCTCCACGGAGGGCTTCCTACTCGCCCTTCTCTCTGCCTGGGACACTGTTCCCACAGACATGCACAGGGCCCACTCCCTCAACCTCCTGCAAGGCTTTCCCCACTCTTGTCCTCAGGGGGCCGTCCCTGGCCATCCCAGCTCAGAGGACAACCCCTTCCAACGCTCCTACAGCATCCAGGACCCCTGATGCGCCAGATTCCTTGCCTCTGTGTTTCCTGGCTGATTCTCTCCCTGGAAGAAAGGCTCCCTAACAGCTCCACCGAGGTCTGTTTGGGTCACATCGGGAAGCGCACAAGAACCGAGCCTCTGGCAACTGAGTAGACGTTCAATAAAGAATGTGCAGTGACTGCTGCAGTCATCTGAGGGAAGATGAGAGCTCGTGAGGCAAGGCGGGTGGGGGAAAGAGCATCTTGGACAGAGGGAGCAGCCGAGCCGCCCCAAGGCCGGCGGGCACAGGGCACATTGGAAGGAATGACCGGATCGTGTACATCAGGGAAGGCGAGCGGGAAGCAAGACTATAGAAGAAGGACGGAGCAGCCGTGCACACACAGAAGGAACGTTTGGGTCTATCTCGAACGGCAACAAGAAGCCAGGAAACTAGGCAGTGACATGAACGAATGGGCCTTCCACAAACCTCTGGCTTCAGGGGGAGATAGGGATTTGGACGCGGTAGAAGCGCCTGGAAGCTCAGTGAGCAGACTAGAACCATGGTGCAGACCACAAATGACCTTAACTCGGAATGAGAGGGCAAAAGCAGAGGTGGAGAAAAGGAGGTAGATTCCAGAGATGTTTAGCAGATAAAATCACAGGTCTGGGAGAATGATCACACAAGGGGGTAAGGAAGTAAAAGCAGAGTTCCAAGAGGACTCCTCCCTTTTGCACGTGGGAACTGAAGGACACAGTGGCCCGATTCACGGAGTTGGGGGGGGCTGGGGGTGGCGAGGAGGAGAATACAGGAAGGGGATCTTGAGAAGTTTTGGAAAGAATGGATTTGCCATAATTCAGAGACATTGATATACAGATTTCCAGTTGGCAGCGGGAGACCCAGGGAACCGTGAGAGGATCAGGAAAAGCAAAGTGAGTCGCCACACAGTACAGATTCTCACCTTGTGGCTGATGGGGAATCAAAAGGTTTTGAGGAACGCAGTAACAGGAGAAGATGTGGGATTCCAAGAAGATCACCCTGGCCAGAGCAGGAGCACGTGGATGGGAGAGGGAGCTGGAGGAGAAGCAGGCAGAACAAGAGGGACCTGCTGCAACAGAGCAGGTAGGAGAAGGGACCGGAGCCAGGGCTGTGGCCACAGGGAAGGAAAGGGGAACAGACCTGCTCTTTGTCAGCAGTGCATCTCCCACGAGGCTCCTGGGGACCGTCCGAAAACCCGGAGCACGTCAGCTCCCCCACTTGACCCCTTGGTCCTCCCACGTGTCATTCTCTGACAACCTCCCCAGAATTCTCTCTTGCTCCCCGCTCCCTGGCCCAATGTCAGGTGCCGATGACACAGCCCTGGGCTTCCACGGCCAGGCTAGTTTCTTCTGCCCTGCAAACACCTATTTGTCTTTTGAAGGCTTCCCCCCTCCACTGGCAAAGAAGCAAGAGCAGTGCTGACATCGAGGAGGCGGCCTGGCACCATGAGCCGGGCTGCACGGCTGGTCGCCGCGGGCCTGGCGCTCCAGGAGACGCCACGTGCTTCTCCGGTTGCACGCAAATGACCTCGCAGAACAGCAGCTTGAGGTGCCGTGGCCCCGGTGATGAAGGGACACCAAAGAGGACCCCTTGCTCTTTTGTCCAAACAGACAAAAACCAGCTTGTCGTGCCCACCCCCAAATGCCAATCCTCCTCTCTCCCGCCTGATACCAGCGAGTGTCTTCCTTCTGAATGACACCGTCCGTCACGCTCCTCACACCTCCTTCTAGAAAACACTGATGGAGCTACCCGATCCCAGAACTGTCTCGCCTCGCCTCGCCTCAGCACCCAGACCAGAGCACACCCCTGCTTCCTTGAACACTCCCAAAAACCTCCGCCCAAAGCCCAAATCCTGTAAGGTCTTGCTAACACCCTCTTTCCTACGGATTGGCCCCACAGTCCCCATGACGTGGGTTCTCCCTCAGGATGAGTAACGAAGCCACTGTGTTTAACGACAGGTGTGCTTCCCGTGGCCTTTGTGGAGGATGCTGACCACCGTCACGGGAGGAAGGGATGGTTCCCTTTTCTGGAGGGAATCCTAGGTGTCCTGGGAGGCTAACTGGCTTTCTTAGTGCGATTTTAGGGGCTTTATGGCTGTAACCTAGGGCAGCAGGAACCAGCCTAACCCACAGCTAGGACATAGCTGGAACCAAATAATATTCAGAATGGAGGGAAATCAAGGGGCGCCTCGGTGGCCCAGTTGGTTCAGCGTCCGACTCCTGATTTCACATCAGGTCATGATCTGAGGGTGCCGAGACTGAGCTCCAAGTTGGGTTCCACACTCAGTGTGGATTCTGCTGGAGATTCTTTCCCCCTCCCTTTCCCTCCTCTTCTGGCCCCACGCCAGGGGCATGCACTCTCTCTCTCTCTCTAAGATAAAGAAGTAAATAAAATCTGTATTTAAATAAATAAATAATGGAGGGAAAGCAAAAGAAGTAAGAATTATTTATGGAAGGCTTCACTCTGTGTCAGACCCGGTGCTAACTGCCTTGGATCTATTGCTCATTTAATCCTTACATCCCAAAGGTGGGCTACCATTTTTATCCCCATTCCAAACACAGGACTGAGGCACAAAGTGATCTGCCCACGATTCACGCAAGGAATCTCTACGTTATTAATCACATGACTTTCTGACAAAGTTTAAGGGTTTAACACACTACAGTGAAGATGCACATCACGGTATCACAGAACTTGGAAGGACAGAGCCCTGCAAAATGTCCTCAAACGTTAACTTATGGATTCTCCCAATCTTCTTGCATGTTGTTCAGATAAAGGAAAGCCCGGTGCAAAAAAGGCTTTCATGAAATGCAACCAGATGACAAATATACGTGGTCTTTAGAGCCCCGGGCCCATCCCAGAAGACTCTGACTCAGTGAGTGTAGAGGAGGACGTGAACATCTCTGTTTTCTTTAAATAGCCCCACAGGCTCTGCTGATGTGCACTCTGGGCTGGGTACCACTGTACTCTCTGCAATTCCAAACCCAAACTTGCCCTACAATGTTTAGATGGCTGCAGACACAGGGGGGCATCGAAAACTGAGGCAAAGAAGAACAGAGAAATTACAAAAACTATCCCCTAGAGAGTCAAGAAAAGGAAAGCTCTAGTTATATTACTTCTCTGTCCTTTGGCTGTGTCTGAATTACTCTACAGTTAACTTACTTTGTTTTAAGTAGGCAAGTTTGCTAAAACGTTTACCAACAAATACTGAATAATCAAGACTACCAATACATTTTAAATAAAATTATACTATGCTACTGAAAAGTATTTTCTGATTATTTCAATGGCACTTCAGAGTCTCTTAGCAAGTAGCAGTCGATATGCGAACATTATTTCTAATTCAACAGTTCTACACATGTGGTCAACAGCACCTGAACACTGGAGAAGAAATGAAGTTGGCTGGAAGGCTTTTAGCTTCACAAATTTCACCACACACTACCGTCAAGTCTTCAATACCAATGTATGTATTTACCTCTTTATTTAATCAACCACCACTAACACCCACTACATGTCAGACAGGGCTCTACGTGTTTCATTAACGTTAAATATCATTTATCTTTACAATCATCTAAGAAGTGGGATTATCATCATCTCCATTTCTCACATCAGGAAACTGAGACCCAGAATGGTTTAGGAACACAGCTCATGAGAGGCAGAGCTACGATCAGCTTGGCTCTGGACTCCATGTCTTAAATCACTATGTTTAGTCTCCAGGAACCCACAAAAACTGCAAGTCTTAACCCCGAACCTTGGCTTGCCCACCCTACAGTCCCTACAGTCCCTACGTGGCCCCGGCTTCAAGGGCATTCCCTCAATTCCTTTCACAGTTCACACTCCTTCCCTGCTCTAAGTGAACACCCTCCCACATCCCCGTTTTTTTCTTAGCCTTCTGTTCTCAGCTTAAACATTACTGCCTAAAAGACAAACTCGAATGCACCCCGTAGTTCTCAGCACTCGAAGCAAAACGGTAATTATGTATTTCATGGGCAATTATTTGCTTCCGGTCTTTTCCAACCAGGTGGTGATAGGTTAGACGCCGTATCTGTCCTATTTATCCTGGGTTCCCAATCGCTGAATACCCACCCCCCACCCCCCCAAAGAGAAGGGCCTACCACAAAGTACACTCTCAACACTTTCTGTTGAACGAACGAACGAACGAACTACACCCCAGCCTGGGCTTTCCGACACCTATCTGTGCTCACAACACGGCCCCCACTGCACCCCTAGAACGCAGCCTCCTGCGGCAGACACGCAAGAGCTCTGCAAAGTCCTGGCTCTGCGCACCACTACTACGTGCTCCTGGGCAGACCATCCCCCCCGCCCCGCCCCAACACACCTTGACTGACCTGATCTCAGGTGCACAACGGGCACCCTGACGATCCCCAACGGAATGTGACCTATGCAAGAGGAAGAACCTGCACTCCTCCTCCCCTCTCAACGCTAGACTTCCTTGCTTCTCGTCGGGCTTCCATAAGGACTCGAGCCCCAAGGAGGCCAAGACCCCGCCGGCCTGCTGCAGGCCGCATTCCCAGTCACGCTCCCCCCAGGCCTGGCGCACAGCACAAGGGAGGTCATTCTCCGCTCCAGGAATGAAGCCCCGCGCCGGGCACTTCACACGTGCGAAACGAGGGTCGCACGAGGTGACGGCGCCCTTTTGGCGAACGAGCGTGTTCCGGAGACACAGGCCCGCCCCCCACCCAGGCCCCAGGCCCCCGGGGACGCTGGGTCCCCGCGCCCGGCAGGCACCTCTGCACGGAGAAGCATCTTCGCAAGGGCCGCGCACTCCCTCGTCGTCTGGGTCTGTCGAGGAGGACGAACAGGAGCTGAAAGAGGCCGTCCTCGGACGAGCGCCCATGGCCGTGGAGGTTCCGGGGTGCTGTCCCCACCGAGAACAACGAAACCGGGTCCCCGGGCGCTGGGGGGACGAGCCAGCCTCGGAGAGGGAAGGAGGGCTCGCTTCCGCCGCGCTCAGCTGCCGGGGCTCAGACCCGCCGCTCACGTCAACCGCCCAACAACCTTCCCGCTCATTGGCGCTTCTGCCCAGACGCTGATTGGACAGCTTCCCGCCCGCTCGGCCCGCGGACGCGCCCCTTGGGTGCCTCCTCTGGCCCCGCCCACAGAGCCCTGGGCACCGTCTACCCCTCCTTTCCCGTCACCACCTGGCGGGACCGCCGTCAAAGCCCCGTCTTCCTTCGCTCCTGGTGCTGTTTTCTGAGTCTGGCGTCTGTGTGTTCATCACAAGCTTGAAATGGCTGTAGTCTGTCGCAAGGCCAGCTTTCCCCCCACTGAAGTGCTTTGGCTCCCTTTTCAAAACTCAGTTGAGCGTATTTGTGGGGACTCTTTCTGGGTTCTTTGTTCTGTTCTATTGATCTGTGTCTGTCCTTCTGCAGATACCACACAATCGTCCTTAGTAAAACTATCGCAGAAGTTCTGAAACTGGGTAGACTGCATGTTCCCACTTTATTATTATTTTCAAAATTGTTTCTGAAACTACTCTTCATTCCTTTGTCTATCCACATACACTTTAGAATCATCTTGTCTATCAATCTACAAAAGAAAACAAACCCTGACTGGGTTTTGACAGGAATTGCATTAAATCGATCTATCAATCTGGGCAGAATGAACATCTTCACTATGCTTAGGCTTCCAATTCACAAACATGGTATATCTCTGCATTTATTTATATCTCCGATTTCCTCTATCAGTGCTAACGGCTGTGGGCATGCGAGTGCTGGACATGCTTTGTTCGATTGATCCCTAAGTATAGTTTTACTAGTAATTGTGAACGTATGTTTGATAGTGGAGCCCACATGTTCGTTGCTAGCATACAGCAGTACAACTTTTACATGTTTCTTCTGTATACTGTTTCACTGTGAAATGCCATTAGTAGTTGTAAGAAGGCTGACATTTTCATAACCTCTTGGGGCATAAGGCCTGAAATGAAGATTCCATATTAAGGGCTGTCTTCACACCAGGGACAATCAAGGAGGGACGGAAACAGCCTAATGCAAGTTCTCCTCTCCCTCCTCCCTCACACGTAAGGTCTCCTAAGCAAAAACCCTTCTCATCACAGGGACCAGACATAGTGCCTGTTGATTTGGGGGAGCAGCGTTCAGTTCCCTAGAAGCCCACTGAATTCTTCAAGCAAGCCACTCATACCCTCCCAAGGGAACCAGGACTTGCCCCACCTTCTTGTTAGGACAAAGTCTTGCCTTCCAAGCCCCTGCTTGTTCCCTCTGTTCCCAAGTGCAATTCCTGTGCAGCCCTGCACAGTGTGTGGTATCCTCCTCCCTTGAACTGTGAGAATATGTGACTAGTCAACTGCTGCCAGTCACATCTGTCAGGTGTCAAGGGATCCCTACAAGCCTAGAGCAGGAATCTCTCTCTCGTCAGGGAACTGAGGAGAAGCTGAATAAAAGCAAGTGACATCACAAACAGGGTGGCCCCACCTTAACTGAGGACACGGGGTCAGCTTGACGTGCTCCTTGGCTTCCTAACTGGCTTCAGAGGGGACAATCACGATCTGGGAGGGAACTGGCAACTGCGGGCCAGCTTGTGTGTTAGCTCGTGTTCTGTTAGCTCCAATGGAGGTCGCCATCCGTTTCCAAACCAATGTCCCATCCTTGCCAACAAGTTGAGTACAGATGCGACTTGACTGTACCTAGGAGGGAGGTGCCATCAGTGTGACCTCCATCTGGCCTGTATCGGTCTCCAAGGCTCCCCGCTGAGGTCGGCAACCCCACGACCTGCTGACTGGGGTGCTTGAGTTCCACCGACTGGGTGTTGGGCCAGTGCTTGGGGCAGACAGACAGATCCGGGTGGGGAGAGCGCACCCCACGCACCGTCCTGGGGATGACCCTCTGTGTTGTGGGTGGAAAGGAAGGGGGCCACGACCCCAGGGAGATGTAAGAATGGCTCCCTGGCTGCCTCCTGAGTCACTGTGGGTCAGGCAACGCGAGTGGCCTTGCCCATCTCCCCAGCTGCCGCTCCTCTCCCCGTTACCGTGTGTCCCCCGGAGCCCTCAGGGTTTGGAGGCGCACATCCATGGCAGCCCAGGGCCCAGGAGCTGATGAGAAACACAAAAGTGGAGGGTCGGCCGTTTGGTGCTCCACCTCTCTCCCAGTGCAAAACCCCTCCTCCACACACTTGCTTTCTCTTAGTGTTGTTGCTTCCCAGCGCGTCCAGGGACTCATCTCTGGATCCAGGGCCTTGAGGCTCCCACTCTGGCCATGGACAAAATGACCTTCCTGGCTGTGGACTCCAACACTGGGGAGATGGACTGGCATGCCCGCAGGAAGAGGACAGTCATCTGTGGGGCCGACCCACCCAGCTCCCTTTCCCCATAAACACCCAGAACATGTGCACCACGTCTGAATAGCTGGAGACAGAAACAAAAACCCATGACTTTATGGGGCTAGAAATGAAATAGTCTCCTGAGGGAATCGGTAGAGTGGGAAAAGGGGGGAGGGGAAGCCGTCCACACTGAGAGAAGGTAGGGCTGTAGCAGAAGATGCTTTGGCTTTATCAACGTCTGCGCTGTGGGTCCTGTGCTCTTTCACTTACCACCCCACTGCCTAAACCTGTTTGGCACAAGATCGCCATCCTCAGGGTCGTGGGGGAAACATCCGTGGCACCCCTGTGGCACAGTGAGGGTATCAATTCACACCCTGACTTACGCCAGGACACCTGAAACCATACGACCATTGCCACGACAGAGGCTCCAACCCTAATGATGCTGATTGGAGACTCTCTGGAAGAAAAAACGGAGAAAGATGAACAGGGTAAAAAGACACTCCCTAACCCAAGCATATATCCAGGACCAAACAAACCCAAGAAAAGGAGGAATGGAAGAAAGAAAACTGGATACAGGAAGAGGAACCCCCCCAAATTAATTCGACATAGGTTCACAATTTGACCCAACTGGAAATCCAAAATTCACAGGGGCGCCTGGGTGGTTCGGATGCTTAGGCGTCCGACTTCGGCTCCAGCCGTGATCCCGGGGACCTGGGATTGAGCCCCATGAGAGGCTCCCTGCTTGGAGGGGAGTCAGTCGGCTTCTCCCTCTGCCTCTGCCTGCAGCTCCCCCTGGTTCCTGCTCTTTCACACCTGCTTGCTGTCTCTCTCTCAAATGAATGAATAAACCGTAAAAAAAAAAAAAAAAAAAAAAAAAGAAATCCAAATTTACTAAGATAATTTATATGGCAAAAGATAAAATGAGGTCAACTGGCTTTTGGCCCTCTAAAACATAGGTTCTGAATTAACGTTAATGTCTGCTAAGATGTACCAGTTGGGTAACCTTCATGGATTCGATACCAGGGCTCCAATTATGCTTGTACCTAGTAAAATAACCGTATTTTCTAGCTTCTGTATTTAATGCTTTGACATCTCAGACTTGCTGACTTTGGAGGGACTGTCCCTGGCAGGCTTAGTTAATTCTTAGAAAAAGTCCACAACTGGCCTGGGAGCATACCTTTCACATCCAAACCAACCGGTACAGAACCCTTACTGCCAACCACCTCATCTTAAGCAGCTCTGGGCCACTATGGCCTCCCTGATCACCGCAAGGGCGGGACAGACTCCTGCAGACACCACTCTGGCCTGGAGCCCCCTGAAATTACTCAAACTAGCCAGTCTTAAACGTGCTTATCCTGCCTCACCTGTCCCTTCCCATGGAAACCACAATAAAGGGTCTTGCCCACATTTTCCCTTCACTCCCTCTTTCTCCTGACCAATCCTGGTGCTTCCCCAGGTGGCCCTGCAAGGCTCTCAGAACCTCCTTTCTTGGGGCCTCTAAATCTACAAAACTTCTTCCATTGTGACAGTTACTTCTATATCTTCCTAACTTATCATACCTGATTAAAATAAATCCTGGTCCCCTGAAAACCTCTGAGACCCCTAGGGCCACCTGGGTGGCTCAGTGGGCTACGCTTTCTTCTCAAGTCATGGTCTCAGGTTCATAGGATCCAGCTCCATGTTAGGCTCCGTGCTCAGGGTGGAGTCAGCTTGGGAATCGCTCACTCGGCCCTTCCCTCCGCCCCCCCCCGCCCCAACTGGGCTCGTGCACTAGGTGTCTCTCTCTTTAAAATAAAGAAATAAAATCTTTAAAAAAAAACACAAGGGAGCCCAACAAATTTAAGGATGGGGAATATTTTGCTAATATAGATTTGGCCAATATGTTCTGTTCCATGCGTATTTCAACATCCTCTCGGTCAAATGTGCCTTGACTTTGAAGGGGACACATTTTACCTTGTTAAGCACAGGGCACCCAAACCTCTCTGCTATCACAGACATCTTTGTGGGCAGGATCTTACTGCACCCGTCCTTCTCCAGGGACATAGGTATGACATCACATTTACGACTACCTACTGTGAGGACATTTGTTTGACACACTTGTTAAGGACATGCAGGTGCAGGGGCGACTGAGTGGCTCAGTCCATTAAGCGTCTGCCTTCGGCTCAGGTCATGAACCCAGGGTCCTGGGAACAAGCCGCGCATCAGGCTCCCTGCTCACTGGGAAGCCTGCTTCTCCCTCTCCCTCTGCCCCTACCAGCCCCTTGTGCTCTCACTCTCGTGCTCTTTCAAGTAACCAAATAAAATCCTTACAAACAAGGAAGGACATACAAGTCCAAATTCTGTCAGTATTTTTTTTTTTTTTTTTTTGGTTCTAGAGGCAACATATTCCTTGTTTATAAATTTTACATAAGCCCATTTAGGCTGCTACTTGTCACTGAGCCCACGCTGGGTGGGGCTCCCCTCAACAAAAGGCTCTAGGATCTGTCCAAAACAACTGTGAGGGGGCGACTGGCTGGCTCAGTTGGTGAAGCGTCGGCCTTTGGCTCAAGTCATGATCTCAGGGTCCTGAGATCCAGCCTGGCAGGGAACTCCCTGTTCAGTGGGGAGCCTGCTTCTTCTCCCACTCCCTTTGACCTCCTCCTCCAGCTCCAACTGTCTCTCAAATACATAAATAAAATCTTAAAAAAAAAAAAAAAATCACCCGTTAGTGCCCTAAGTAAAAAGGCTTTAGCAACTACCTCTCCAGCTTCCTGGAGTCACTGGAATCGTCCATGGACTCCCAATGCAAGAAATGGCCCTCCTTGGCCCTGGGTTATAGACCATGAAAGCAGCAATTGCTGACCATGCACTGGGCTCTCCTGGAAACGGAGTCTCTTACAGACTCTGAGCCTTCATATCCCGCTGTCTGCTCTGCCTCGGGTCATGATACCCCCACCAGCTTAATGTAGTTACCAAGGCCTTCTTGCTACAGGCTGAAGCCAAAGTCTGCATATCCAACCTGCAGGTGGGGGTGGCTGCTTCTATCCACAGTCCATTGCCAGATTCCATGGTGCTGGAGGACGTCAGCCTTTCCTTCTACCCCTTGGCTACCTAAGGATTCCCTTGGGATCAACTGAGTGACCATCAATGACCGTTGATACATTTTGGTTTTGAAGACCAACTCCCCCTCTTGTTCACGTGACAATTTCACTTCCTAGAGAAGCACCTGTCCTACTCCTTAAAAGTCTCAGTCCCAGGTTGAAATTGATGTCTAGATATCAGAGTCCACTGTGATGGAAAGCCTGAGATTAAGATTCAATAGGAAGTGTTGTCTTAGTATCAGGGAACATCAGAGGGCCTCCAATGGCCTCGGTCTCACCCAAAGTTCCCTTCCCCCTCTGCTCCCACAGATCAGGTCTCCTGGCCAAACGACCTTCTTTATCCCAGGGACCAGGCACAGTTTCTCCCCAAGGAGTAAGGTCCATTTCCCTGACAGCGTGTGCAATTATCCAGCAAGCCAGTCATGCCCTCCTGCAGGAA